GCCCTGGGCAGCACCCCGCACCCTTTACCACCCGACCCTGCTGACTCTCTAAGCCCTGGGCAGCACCCCGCACCCTTTACCACCCGACCCTGCTGACTCTCTAAGCCGTGTCTCTGCTCTTAGTCACCAAAACTGCTTTTACTTCCCCTTTGGACCTTTGCCGATGGTGACTCCGCTACCTAGACCGTCCCTCCCCTGCTCTTCCTTATGCTGACAAAGTTGCATGCTGCAGGTTCTGCAGAAGCCTCGCCCACCCCCCAGCATGCTCCCAGGGCTCTCATGGGAGTTCCAGGGCCCTCATGGCAGTTCTCCCATCATCTGTGAGAGTCTGGTCCTACAGCGAGATCAGTAAAGGCGGGAACAAATACCTTACCCACAATTTTATCCTCAGCAGGGCCTGAAGCACAACGTGCACTCAATCCATATTTGCTGAATGCATAAATTAATTAATAAACTAGGAGCCCTGAAAAGCTTTTCAACATTTCCTAAATGAAGTTTCACTAGTGAGACTACTCCTTTTTCTTATATAAGACATAAATAAAACTGACACACTGTGTTGGATAAATCTCAATACTTAATACTCTTTATTTATGTGACACTTACAGAGTCAACAAAATTGTATATATTTTAAGCAGCACAGTCTGATAGAAACAAAATAGGCCATCACTTTTTCAAGGAATGAAGTTGCTGAGATTTCAAACTAGATTAACAAAATGGCCTGTCTAATCCTATCCCCGAAGTATGGGGAGTTATCAATGACATCTTATTGATGCAAGACCATCATGATCGCCATCATCATCATAGTTATCCTGACGGTCACCACTGTCACCTCTGTCACCGTCATCATCTACATCTCGATCACCACCAGCATGTCCATCATTACCAGCTTCACATCATCATCATCATTACCTTGTTGGCAAACTGTTAAATGCTTCGCCACTTTTCCTTCTTATGTTTCTAGTAAATAGCTTATATACTTACTCCCACATTGTGTCAGTTTAGTTGGAAGAAGAAACTTGTCTGCTAGATGGAGTAAACGTTTATGCATATAATTCTTGAAAGAAAAAAATCTAAATTGTTATTTATGGACACATACTAAGATATTGTTATAAGAAAACCCTATCTATGCATTCCACTCAGAATTCAGTTTGCAAAGAGCAGAAGAAGAAAGAACACGATTTTTTTCCTCTGAAGGTCTGCAGATCCAACAGTGTATTAAAAAGGGAGACTTACAAGTGTCCCTGTGTCTGGGAGGTTCCTGAAAGCGCAGCACTGTCAGAATCATGAACAGGATACACGGCCAGAAGAACTCAGCCAGGGAAAGGACCTGGAGACATTGTATTAAAAAAATAGCAAGTAAATAAATGGCAAAGCTTTACAGTATTTACATCTTTTGAAGGATATTGTTACAATCTCTACCAAGTGTCTCTTAGAACCACTAAGAGGCCCCCAGAGAAGGCCCAGTTGGGACAGGGGCCCCCAGAGAAGGCCCAGTTCAGGGGCCCCCAGGGAAGGCCCAGTTCATTTTTTATCACATCCAAACCTGTGACTGCGTCACCTCCTTGTCCTTTTCTCCCCAGATATACCTAATGCTTTTTACCTTTTTTGGCACATTTTTATTGATTACAGAACTTAAGACATTAAAGAAATTTAAAAAATAAATAACTTCACTCGTATTTTCCTCGGTTCAACAAATGCATTATTGTTATTTTTCTGATTTCTTCCATATTCCTGATTTTTCCATCCAAATAGACACTTTGCCAGCTTTGCTGTAGCATTCACACCTGTCAGCATCCTGACTGCGTGACATCCTCATCAAATGGATATACCACAATTCACATGCACATTCTTCTATCAGGAGACATTTTTGTGTATAAAATTTTTTTCTTTTGAGTTATTTTCTTTGGAATAAACTCCTAAAACTAAGATTACTGGAGTCAAATCTCCTGACCCATACCACATATGAGCTACCCAAAACGATTGCAATAATTTGTACAAAGCCGAATTTTCAAATTAGACGAAAAGGAACTATTGTTGATACATGAAATTTAATGATTTCAGAAAGAAATATCATGTGTATAGTCCAAAGAAAAATTAAATTTGGAAATGCCTTGATTATCATAAATCTTTTTGTTATCAGCTTTCTTTCTTTTTTTTTTTTTTTTTTTTTTTTTTTGGCCAGGGCTGGGTTTGAAACCGCCACCTCTGGTATATGGGACCAGCACCCTACCCTTTTGAGCCACAGGCACTGCCCTGTTGTCATCTTTCTTTGTTTATTTTTCCAGTGGGTAAACTTCTATTGAGTTCAGGGCGGGGAGGGGGAGGATGGGTGAAGAGAATGATACTGTGGGGATCACGCCTATGATTTATCCTATTAGGGTACATGTGAATTTGTCTAAAGATCAAATATAAATGTCTTAACACAACAATTATGAGAAAGACATGATGGCTGTGTTAGCCAGTTGGATGAGAGTTTTTCAAACTGTATAGAGAAGCAACACACTGTATCCTATGATAGAATTAATGTACACAATTATGATCTAATAAAAAAAAGAAAAAGAAAAACATTTATAGCCAGACTCAGAACCAGCAAGATATTGTATAAATGCATACACAAAAACCTAAAAGTCTTCAAATCAAGGCTGCTCAGTCAAACACTGAAGGATGTCTTCTTGTTTCAGACTTTGGACTAAAATAAACTTCTGGGAGCCTGGCTCCTTTATTCCTGGCACGATGTGGCTTCTCCCCACTGCCATAATCTTTGCCTGTGACCAGGTCTAAAGGTAAATGGGTAAGTGGCCTGAACCCATGAAGACAAAACACAGGTGCAAACGAGTTCTTTGACCCTTGGGGTAATTAAGGAAGAAAAGAAATCATTTTCTGAAATGTCCACAGGGACATATTTCATGTGCCAAAAAATGCATCAGGATAAAAACTTTTCTGACAATGTGGCGAAACCCAATATCACACATTCCGATGACAGAGAAATGTCTGTGGGAAGTCACCCTCTGATTCAGGGGATCATGATTAAACCAGAAAGAAAGGTCAAGGACTTTCAGGAGATGACAATTTATTTAAGTCATTTTGGTCATTCTCTGTAACAAATTAATAATTTATTGGTATATTGAGATAGGAAGGTGGTGAGGGAAGATTCTAAAGTTAATTCTGGCTGAATATAAACAAGCAAAATTTAAAATATACTTTATAGTAAATAATGACTTGACATCATAAAGGAGAAGAAACAATGTTTTAATGTTTTTTTTTCATTTTTATTACAGATGATAGCAATTTTTTTTTTTTGAGACAGAGTCTCACTTTGTTGCCCTGGGTAGAGTGCTGTGGCATCATAGCTCACAGCAACCTCCAACTCTTGGGTTCAAGCGATTCTCTTGCCTCAGCCTCCCGAGTAGCTGGACTATAGGTTCCTGCCACAATACCCAGCTATTTTTAGAGGCAGAGGTCTCACTCTTGCTCAGGCTGGTCTTGAACCTGTGAGCTCAAGCAATCCACTCGCCTCAGTCTCCCAGAGTGCTAGGATTAAAGGCATGACAGCAATTTAATCGCACTGCAGGCCTGACAGCAATTTTTTTTAAAGACAGAGCTATAAAAAAAACAGGAAATGGTTTATACCCAAGACTTACATAACAACTTTTTGATATTATAAAGAAATCAATAAGCACATACATTCTTAGGAAATTTTATTTTTCTCCCCTTAGGAAATGTTAAAAGATTACAATACTCTCACAAAGACTAAATGATCTTAAAATTTTTTTTTTTTTGAGACAGAGCCTCAAGCTGTCACCCTGGGTAGAGTGCCATGGCATCACAGCTCACAGCTACCTCCAACTCCTGGGCTTAAGTGAGTCTCTTGCCTCCGCCTCCCAAGTAGCTGGGACTACAGGCACCCGCCACAACAACTGGCTATTTTTTGGTTGTAGTTGTCATTGTTTGGCAGGCCTGGGCTGCATTCGAACCTGCCAGCTCTGGTGTATGTGGCTGGTGCCTTAGCTGCTTGAGCTATAGGCACCACCTTAAAAGTTCATTTTTTAAAAATATAAACATAATTGGCTTGGCGCCTATAGCTCAAATGGCTAGGGTGCCAGCCACATACACTGGAGTTCACAGGCTCGAACCCAGCCTGGGCCTGCCAAAACAACAATGACAACTACAACAACAACAACAACAAAATAGCCAGGCATTGTACCGGGCACCTATAGTCCCAGCTACTTGGGAGGCTGAGGTAAGAGAATGGCTTAAGCCCAAGAGTTTCAGTTGCTATGAGCTGTGACACCACGGCACTCTACCCAGGCTGACATAGTGAGACTCTGTCTCAAAAAAATAAATAAATAAATAAAATAAAATAGGGTGGCGCCTATGTCTCAAAAAAGTAGGACACCAGCCCCATATACAGGAGGTGGTGGGTTCAAACCCAGCCCCAGCCAGAAACTGCAAAAAAATAAAAAAAAATATATATATATAAACATAGTTAATAATTTTAGTAACAATTTTTTTCTATCAGCAGTTACAGACAGGCCTAACTGCGATTAAAGACCACACTGTATTCTACTGAAGAATTTAATTTAATTTACCAATTATCTAATTATAGACATTTACATAGTTTTCTGTGTGGGGCCAGTGATATCATGAGTTTTTTTACAAGTTTGGCTTTTGTAAATAAAACTGTGAGATAATGTTGCTAAAAGCAATTACTGAGCCAAAGTGTATATAATTTCTAATGTGGACTTTTAAGTTGGATTGATAGAACATAACACCCTCATTAAAGGCTAAGCCAACCATTATTCACTCCAATAACACTCTAAATAGCACACGAGATTAACAAACTTTTAATTTTTTGTCAAACCTATATGAAAAAAATATAACAAATTACTTTAATTATTAAGATCAAGTATTTTTCATAAGTTAAGTATGTAATAATTCCTTATCTTTTAACTTTATTTTTCAGGTGCTTTGTTTTCAAACTAATTGCTCTTTTTTTTTAATTGTCTTATAAGCCATCACTTCCTACTTTTTAATTAAAGAATTCAGCCCACAATTTAAAAAAAAAAAAAGAATTTAGCCCTTTCTTGGCTTAAGGCATTATGACTATTTCTCCAATTTTTATTTGCCCTCTTATTGTCTAAATCTTTTATGTGATCAATTTATCAGTCTATTTTATTTATAGTACCTAAATTTTTTTTCTACACTCTAAGAATATACTTTTTTTTTTTTTTGAGACAGAGTCTCACTATGTTACCCTTGGTAGAGTGCTATAGCATCACAGCTCACAGCAACCTCTAAGTCTTGGTCATGGTGTCACAGCTCACAGCAACCTCTAACTCTTAGTTTTAAGCGATTCTCTTGACTCAGCCTCCCAAGTATCTGGGACTACAGGCACCTGCCACAACACCCAGCTATTTTTTGATGCAGCTGTCATTGTTGTTTAGCAGGCCCGGGCCGGTTTGAACCCCCCAGCCTCAGTGTATGTGGCCGGTGCCGTAACCACTGAGCATGGGCACCAAGCCAGAAGATACAATTTAAAGGACCATTCCCAAGCCACAGTGTAATTGTCAACTCTGAAATTACAAATATGTATCAGTCCAGTCTTTAAGTCAATGGCAAATCTGTAGTTTCAAATAGAACTTTGGTTAAAAAAATTGAAGTCTGTATCTTATCATTGATAAATTTTTATGAGGATTTTGAAATAAAAAATATAACTGCAATTAAACCTACCCCCCCCAAAAAAAGAACTCAAGACTTTTTTATTCACAAGCCAATCACTGACCTTCTGAAAAGCCTTTCATTGTTCCACATTTGAAACTACTTCATTCAAGAGAGAAGTCTCCAGACCGGTCTGCTGTGTCACCGTCCATTGTGAGCGTGTGAATCACCACCTTTCACAAGGCTGTTCCTCTGCAGGGGCCCAGAGGCAGCCTTCCCTTCCCCATCCCATTTTCATATCATGTTTTCCTTTCTCGGGTGTCATTATTCTCCTTGAATCTTGCTTAACGTTTTTAATCTTATCCCTGTTAAGTGGACTGTTCTCTGATTAACATCAGAGCTTCCCTGTTTCTCCCACAGGCTCAGCCCTGCAGTGCTGGCTTCTTAATACTAGGAACTGATCTGAGCAAAGCCTGGTGTTCCTGCTGTCCAAAGGCACCCAAGGATTCTAAATGCTGTTGCAGGCTCTGCTCTCAAGAGAAATAATCACCTAGTAAACCTACTAGTATTTAAAAAAACAACAGCTGCTCTGCTCTTGCAGGAGGGGGTGGAGTGCCGAGTCCTGCTCCCTGAGCGTCACATCCTCACAGACCTCTCCTGTCACGTTCC